AATACTATATTAAAAGCGATTTTTTTTTTAATTTCGTAATTTTAAACCAATTTTTTTCAATTTTTGTGCAAAATTTGGATAATTCTATTCTACAAACGAAAAAATATTTTCGTGTGGGATTATATTTAAAAAATGACGAAGCTTTTAAAAGTTTTATTGAAAATTTAAGTATTTTTTGAAAAATCGTAAAAAAAGTTTTAGGCATTTTATTTTTTAAATGACTTATTCTAAAAGAGAAAAGCATGAACTTTCTTAGTGCAGAATATCAATTCAATAACATGAAAAAAAAATTTCATACAGAACGATTTAGAAATCATTTTCATGAAAACGCAACGATTTTGACTCATTTTAGAAAAAATTGTAAAAAACAGAAAATATCATTATTTTTTAAAAAAGTATTATACCATATCGTGGCGAAATAAATCATCTTTCCGATTACGTAATTATTTTTCGTCTCTGATAGAAAGAATAAGATGGTTTTTGAAAAAAGGTCGAAAAATCGGAACTTCTTTTAGCTCAACCCGATAAGCTGCTCCGCAGATTAAAAAGCTAACAGGGATAAAAGGTTTTCAATTAATATCTTTTTAACTAATTGTGATATTGGAATACAAATCATCAAAATATGCATTGCCATCCTAACTAAACGTGTATACAAAATTTCAGCTCAATCGGTTGAAGACATCAGTTTCAAAATTGAGTTGAAAGATTCCACCCGAACATTTTACATTGCAAGTTAAATAAAAGCTTGTAAAATATAACATACTTTGTACGTATACAGAGTGGAAGTATTGTAAAATATCCCGTTGTACAAATCAAACGAATTTCAAAAATATTTTACACGAAAAAAAAAAATCATTGGAGGCGCGGGGTATCGATCCCCGTACCTCTCGCATGCTAAGCGAGCGCTCTACCATCTGAGCTACGCCCCCGGCCGTCATCTGTGTTACTGTAAACATGCTCGCCTTAACACCTGAAGAAGATCGTTACTGTAACTAGGTCAATTAAAAGTGTTACGAGAGAAACTAGAATCGAGTAAATAGATATCATAGAATGTTTTAAAGTAAATAGAAATAGCTTGATAGATCTGCCTTTCTTAGTGCTCCCTCTAGAACACTCAAAATATAACATACTTTGTACGTATGCTGAGAGGAAGTATTGTAAAATATCCCGTTGTACAAATGAAACGAATTTCAAAAATATTTTACTCGAAAAAAAAATCATTGGAGGCGCGGGGAATCGATCTCCGTACCTTTCACATGCTAAGCGAGCTCTCAGCCATCTGAGCTACGCCCCCGGTTCACACCTTTTTTATTGTAAACCTACTCGCCTTAACAACTGAAAAAGACCGTTACAGTAACTAGGTCGATATCAGAATATAAATTGTCAAAACATGTGTTGTCATCCAAACTATACGTGTATACAAAATTTCAGCTCAATCGGTTGAAGACATCAGCTTCAAAATTGAGTTGCCAGATT